CTAATTTTGCCTCGGGGTCTTCTGCTAACGATAGCTGACAGCGGATATCAAACTTATTGAAGCGAAACTGATACATTCTATTGAGAGAACTGAGACATGTTTAAAATAATCAAATTCAGTCTTTTGACGGGATCAATAATTGCTTTATAATCAAAAATACTTTACAATAATTAGATAAAAATTTAGTTATAAGTTATAATTAATTAATAAAACTCTTACACACCAATAAAAATTTTTTAAAGTTTATCGGAGACAAAACACTGTAGCCGTTCATCAAATAAAACCAAAATTTTCTTCACATTAAATAAATTAGTTACTCAGTGTACCGTATAAAAAATTAAGAAGAAGGGTAAACTCTAAAGTTTTTATCATTAAAGTATAACCCAAAAAAATAAAAAAAGTATTTACCTATAAACTCACGTCCTCAAGAGACACGAGCTCAATGGAGTATTATGGAAAAGTAAATTATTCCGGGCTGATAACCTCCAGGATAAATTTCTGCGGAAAATTTCGTAGAACAGCATAAATATAAGCATAAAATGTTCAAAGATAGATCAAACAAATGTCGAAAATAAAAAAACAAGTTGTTTTTGTTTGCTTGAATTAATTTTTGAGAATAAATTGAAGCTGGCGCATTGAACCAAGAGACAGTAAGGAATAAGATAAATAGTAATGTTATTGTTAGCAATGAGTTGTGTGTACACAAGTGCTCGTTATATCTCTGGAAACGATAGTCGGTAAGTTGTAGGTTATATATAGGGCTGTAGTCTATAGATAAGGGTCGACTAGCACTCGGGATAATGTCTGGTGGTATTAGAGAGACTGAGAAATGCAAGTGTAGGTGTAGGAGTGCAGGATATGCCCTCCTGGAAGTGCCAGGGGTGAAGATAGAATTCATGCAGTTTGCAGCAAACGATGCAATTACGTGGTTCAATGTCCAGGGAATGCCGCAAACCGTTTCCAGTTGGAATTTCACGGTCCGCCAGAGATATTAGTAAAACTGAGTGGGTGGAGATCATGGAGATTGTAGATTGCGAATTGTGAGATGGCTCGACTATTTAATGCTAGATACAAAGTTTCTCTCTCTGCCTCTGAACTCTATTTTAAGGATCGAGTTCATTCAGAATTGCCTCGGTATTTGTATCTGTCTCGACTCCAAGCTACTGAGAATTCAGGAGGGAGTACATCGCGTCGTTGAACCTGAATTAAGTGAACAAATCGATTCCTCGACCAATGATAATGTGTTACTTGTGGCCCTTACCAGGGTACGTGTCTGGAGATACTAGTTTACTGCAGGAAGTTTTCGATAACTCGATATCATATATTGTAGGTGTCTATACTATCGTTTTTATTTCAGAGTTTCAGGAAATCGCCTCGGAATATATTCGCCTATATTTTATATTTGTATTACTTTTTTAATTTATGGTTATAAAAAATTTTTACCATTAAATCTTTTTTAAAAATGAAAATTTTGACTAGAGAGTGAGAGATAAAAATTTGTAATAACATTTTTTGGAACGAATTGAATTCTTTGTAAAACTAGGTTCTTTTTCATCAATTTTTCGTATATTTAACATTTCTCTCTAAATTTTAGTTTTAAAATTGTACAAATTTTTATCTTCTGATTTACAAAAAAAAATTCTTAGTAACTTTAAAATTCACACATATTTTCTTCACTATAAACGATACGGAAAAATTGATAAAAACCTTTTTTGTAAAGAATTATATTCCCTACAAAAAAGGTTCATTTAATTTATCTATATTTCCAATATTTAAGCCAAAAATCGCATTCCAATTTTCTACAACGAAAAAGGAGCACTCAGCTCTTCACCATTCAATACGTACATTATCAAAAATACAAAACTTCGACGTCCAGCATTAAAAAGGCTTCTTTCCCCAGACAAAGAGAATGGTTACTCTCTCACTAATACTCTCAAAGTCCCGCCATCACTATTAAAATATTAATATTAATCCTACACAAAATTTTCATTTGAGTCCTCGAGTATTTTGAGTATTACCCCGCAATAAGGCTACTTAGGCAAACCGAGACTGGTTAAAGCTTAAAGCTTCCGAGTTTTGAATTTGATACACGAGAGCGTATCGCAAATGAGCTTTTCCAGTAGCAAAACTACTCAACATTTTCTTAACGACACACAACCCTCAGCCCAGCTGCGCTTCACCTAAGTGTTCTCGAGTCGTTATATGACTCAGACAAGTCGTCAAACTTTACCGGTTATTAGACTCATCTGACAACACTCCAATAAGTTAAGCGACTAATTTTCCTTTTTTTATTTCATCTTACCGCTTTCTTTTTTTATTAAAATACTTTTATTCCCCAGAACTCCTTTGTTACAATCAAAGTTTCAGATTAATTAAAAACTTTTTACAAAGCACACTTTAGTTTAACTAAATAATTATGAAAATAAAAATATCGCTACTGCAAATTTAATTCCTTCTCCTTTTTTTTTTTTTTAATAACAAACTAAACTTTTTATTGATTAAATAATTTCATTAAAACTTTTCTAAAATAATTTTTGCGATAGTTACTCCAAAAAATGATTGCTTTTTTTTCCAAGCTCGCAATTAATCCCCGAAAGTAGAAGCATCGGTTTGCGGTCAGACATAAATTTTTTCAACGTAATAAAATCCGAAAAAAAAAACTTTGTCACCCCTAAAATAACACAATTCTCTCTTAAATTTATCTCAGTGTTATCTTAAAGACTCATAAGTGGTCAACATCGGTTTTTTCCCGTCAATATATTACCGTTTTTCGTTGAATCATCAGCTGTTGCGAGGGTCCGGGTCCTCCTCGCCTTAATGGATCGACTGTTTGCGTCTAGAAGAGGGTCGTAGTCGGTATATCTATTAAATCCAGTATTTTCTCTCTTATAAACTCTATCTCTGGCTCCTAAATCCGCAATTCGTCTGTATCTATCATCCTATATAGACACTGATTCTTTTTTTCCATGAAACATTTCTGCTTCTTCTAAAATCGTTTCGCCGTTTTCCATTTCTTTTCATCCTGTGGCTTGCAAGCTCTACGTTTGTGAAGCCCTCGAAAACCAATTCTACCATTTTATTGTTCCCAGTTCGTTTGCATTATTACTATTGTATACATATGTATAGATCGCTTTTGGCGAACTCGATGGAACGGTCGCATGATTCGTTTCCAACGTTTTAGTTCCTTGCATGCGCCATCGATTCCAACGGAGTTGCTTTGTGGCAAAAAATGTTTACAAAAGAAAACAAAGCTCGCTCTATTGTATGCAATATTATTTTCTTTTAAAGTTTATCGTCTAAAAAATTAAGTAATTCGGTAGATAAAGAGAAAACAAAATCAATAGAGTATATTTCGAATTCGGAATACCAACTTTGGAAAACTTTTATTTTCCTCTTTGATACTGATGACAAGTTTACTATTTCTTGAAGTTTTTATTCCTTTTTACAAGTTTAACATAAACTTGAACATCAAACTCCGGGTTCTTCGGCAGAAACTTTTGCTTCTGTTGGGTAATAAAAAAAATAAAAAGAAATGTTATAATAAACGTAAACGTAAACTATAAAGTTTGGATTTAAATTGCTAAAAATACCAGATTTATATTCTAATTTTATTCATTATTGTGTCGTTACTAATTCGCGGATAGAATGAAAAAAAAATTAAGGAAAAAAATTTTTAATCAAAAAACATTTTTTTTCAAAAGTTCAAAAATCTAATAAATTTTTCATAAATGCAATGGAGAGGGTTAAGTTCAAAAAAATGGAAATTATCGTATAATATTTGAACAAATTTACCGATTTAAAAATTTTTATTCCCCTAAAAAACATTTTCATAGCTTTTGAATGGACCTAGCTTATGTTTTGTGCAACTCGTTGACTTTATAATTTTTTCCATGAATTTCGCTCTATTTTTTTATCCAACGGTTTATTTTCATTCAAACTGAAAACTACGATATTGAAGATTAATGACAACTGGTCTAGCCGATGAGTCTCGGAGGCCAGCCATTAAAAATTTGCGATAGTCGGGCTTTAAACGAGAGAGTTATCTATGAAACAGGAACGGGCAGATGAGTCTAGATTATAAAGGCTTGGAGGTAAAAATAGTGGAATAACGAGACAGAGGACCCGGGAAGGGTCCAGTACTTTCTGGTGAGTGGGGTCTACGTTCATGTGGCTGAAATTTAAAGAGCAGAGAGAGGAGAGGGAAAAGTGGAAAACCCCGAGCGATTTATTTTATTGCTGGATTTAATGGCGTGAAACGCGAGGAACCAGGATCAAGGAAGTTACAATTACGCTCGTTGAATTGTCTTTCTGGATTTTATCCAGTCTGTCCGCTTGAGAATTGCTGATCCCGGAATCCGAAACCCGCTGGGGCCCACTTACTCCTCACGCTATCACTCAGATCCGCGATCTCGGATATTGCTAAGGTAAAATCTGATATTGGGTGGAATTACTTATCCTGTAATAGTTTTCCGGCTTCAGACTGGACTAGAAGTAGAAGAATTAATTCAATAAAGGGCTTTTGGGAAACGGATAATTGAAAAAAGGCCACAAAATTGAGAAATTCATCAAAAATTATTATTATTTTAGATAATTGATTTTTTTTTTTATATTATTTTCTTCAAAAAGTCTAAAAATAAACAGATAGAGTCCAACAATCACATAGATAATATTGACGCTTTACTTTAAAAAAATGTGATTACTTTTTCAAGATAAAACTGAACTATAAAAAACGATTCGATAAATGTAGTTTTTTTGATAAACGTTTAGAAAATAATCATAACAATTAATTACTTTTTTTACTTAACGAGTATGATATCAAAATTCGATGTCATTTGATTTTTTATCTTGTTATTGAATAGTTTGAAATAGAATTTTATGACACGCAGTTAATTGACATTAAACTAACTTCAACCACGGTGACTTTTATTCGTACGAAGTTATGAATTTTCTGTATTTTTTTTTAATTAACTTTCTGAAGTAATACACTCAATGCAACCAAAATGATCACCAAAATTTTGTTCATTGGTTTGCTTTTTCAAGCTACTTTCCAAGCTTCAAAAAGTGCTGGTGAAAATTCAAAAGAGCAGAATAATTCTTGCGTCAAATCGAGAGAACAAGTAAGTATATATTTCATTAGAAAAACCGATAAATTATTTCATGGAAAATCTTTTACGGATCAACAGTGTCACAATCGTAACAATATTTGTTGCGATCCAAACGAAAAATGCGAACTTATCGGATGGCGTTTAGAGAAAGCTCCATACGTCTGTAAAATTCCAACAAAACTCGGAAGTAATTGTACCAGTAACTCAGATTGTTTAGCAATTACACGTGCATTGTGTAGCGACAAAAATGAATGTCAATGTTCAAGTTATTTTACCAAGAAAATAAAATGATTACGAATGCGAGCTACCAATTGATATTCCATGCGTGAAAAACGTTGATTGTCCAATCGAAAATTCTTTTTGTAGCAGTGATAAATGTGTTTGTAAACCAAAATTCGTACGACGAAAGGACAAATGCAAACATAGTAAGTTAAATTTGACTCAAAAATTTCAATTTATCGTACTGTACACTGAGAAAAAAAATTTTTTTGAAAATCTACATTGTTGACACAAGAACGTATATTCTTAAAAATTTCCAACGCTGTGCTTTTTCACTAAAATATCATCATTTTCAGCCACTTTGGGAGAATATTGTTGGGAAAATAACGATTGCATGGACATACTACACATGGAATGCTCTAAAAACTATACCTGTGTGTGCAAACCAAATCATATTTCGAAAAATAATGCAATATGTGTATCACTTTTAAACGAATTTTGCTCAAGCGATCATGACTGCGGAAATTTGATGCATGTCACCTGTACAGAGAATAAATGTGCCTGTAGACCACATCACCGTCTTGTTCAGAACACTACATGCTCATCACTTTTAGGTGGATTTTGTGAAAGCAATAAAGAATGTGAAGTGAGCAATTCTATCTGCTAAGATAATCAGTGCACACGCTGATTATAATGCTATTTGTTGGGATAATATATGTCAATACCAAGAATGAATATTATTATTTTAGTATTTTTTGTTTCAGAGAAAATTGAAAATATTTTCTAGAGATTCTTATCTACAATCACATTAAACGTTATTTTTGAGACTATTAACTTTTTATTTTCAAGTTCATAAAAAAAATTCATTATTATGTGTAATCTGTTATTTTGATTGTTTAATAATAAGTTAACTTGATAAATATAAGTGTATAAGAAAAAAACTACGCAGTATTTTACTTGTTTTTTCCGGTTCTAATTAAAATCATTTAACCATACCTATTTTAAAGTCAAATTTTTATGTTTCCGTTAGATAATCTAAACTATTTTTATTAGACGTTTTGTATGATATCATTTGTTATCAGAACGCATTCTGTAGCAGTAATAATGTAAGTAATTTGTTTTTTTATTTTGAAAGAATGAAATCAAATTTATAATCATTAGAATTATTAATTTTTAGAAAAACAATTTATAAAACAAGAAAATGATTGTAAAAGTAATATTTCTACTGATTGCTTCAATTCGAGCAGATTTTTCAAGCTTTTCAAATCTTAATTTTACATTCGAATTGGAACCAGTAGAAGGATGTGTGAGTGAGCGGTATCGCGTAAGTATATTTACCGAAAAAAAAAAATAACAATATTTTCATAAAATGATATTTTCTCATCAGTGTAACGAATTTCTTGAACGTCCATGTTGCGATGAAAGTAACGTATGCACCTTCACGGGATCGATACAAGGAATGGCTATTTTGGCGTGCATCAAAAAACGTACTTATAAATTAATATTTATTAAATTTATATGTCATGTTAAACTCATAAGAAAACATGTTAATTTCAGAAAAATTAGGAGATGATTGTGAACCCGATTTGAAATGTTTTTCTATACCTCATGCATTATGCAATGACGACAATAAATGTGAATGTGAGGATGATTATATCGAGATCAACAAAACTGCTTGCGTAGCACTTATCACTAGTTCATGTTTAAGGGATGATGACTGTGAAATCGATAATTCTATTTGTGTTGACCGAAAGTGTACTTGCAAACCTGGATTTTTTTCACTCTTCAACGACCATTGCCAACCAAGTGAGTTTAATTGCTCATCCAATAAAAAATTACAAAACATTTTTTAACACTGATTATTTTTCAGCTCATTTAGGGGAATATTGTTCAAGCGATCACGATTGTGGAGACATTGAACATGCAATATGTTCTGAAAAAAAAACATGCGTATGCAGAGCCGGTTATTCTGTGAAGAATAATGCAATTTGTGCTTCAAATTTAGGCAAATATTGTAAAGATAATGGATGTGCTCCGAATGATTCTTTTTGTGAGAATAACGTGTGCCGTTGCAAAAACGGCTACATACCTTCGTCTGACGGCAGTTGTATGCCAAGTAAATGCAAAATTATATTAAATTAAAAATATGAAAAGTATTCCTTAAGGTTTAATTAATAGACAGTAATTTTAAATTCAAATTACAGCACTGATAACAGCATTTTGCTACACAGATTATGATTGCAAGGACCCAATCCACATGGAATGCATTGAAAATAAGTGTTTTTGCAAAAAAAATCGTATAGTCGTAAATAATTCGACTTGTGCATCACTTTTGCTCCAATTATGTTATAATGATGAAGATTGTGCTGTTGAAAATTCTGTTTGCATTGAAAATAAGTGCAAATGTAAAAATGATTATCTAATGGAAAATAGTACTACATGCTCACAAAGTTAATAACACTTGCAATTTTACAACAATAGAAATACAATAGTATATACTTCAATTTGATAAGTATTGAATGTTTTTACAGCGCCATTAGGAAGAACGTGTGCATTTGATTCTGATTGTGGAACCATCATTCCCGCTCGCTGTTCAGCAGACAATAAATGTATATGTGCGATGAGTTATACAAACATTGAAAACACAAAATGCGAACTACTTTTGGGAGCAGAATGTTCGGAAGAGATACCTTGTGTAGCAGAAAACTCTGTTTGTGTTAACCATAATTGTGAATGTAAAGCTAATTTCAAAACCAATTTAACCAATGGTATATGTGAACCAAGTAAGTTATCTACAGTCCAATGCTTATAAATGTTATATTTGAAATGATCTATGATTGCAGCATTACTAGGAAAATATTGCAATCTAGCTTATGAATGTGAGGATGTATTCCATATGAAATGCTATGAGAACAAGTGTGTCTGCAGAGCAAACAATGTTGTAGTAAATTTTCAGTGTAGATCACTTTTGGACGGGTATTGTTGGTCTAATGAATATTGTCTAACTTTTAACTCTGAGTGCAGAGATCATCAGTGTGAATGCAAAAAGAACTACGAAAGAATATTGAATGATCGATGCATACCCAGTAAGTTTTTGGTTCTTATTAAATAACTACTTTATACTTTATCATTATCACTATTTTTAATTAACACTTTCAAACTTTTTAGAACGATATGGACAGACTTGTGAACTCGATGACGATTGTAGACGTCTAAATGTTCCATGTTCTGAAAACAAGACTTGTGACTTGGATGCTTTAATCTTCATTTAGAAGATCATCATATGTGCATTATTACTAAAAGGTGTATTTTTGACTTACGACCAGATAGTTTTTAATTTTTTACCAAGCTTAAAAATTTGAGAACTAATTGGAATCTTATCTACTTTTATGTTGACGTAAAATATGCAAAAATTAAAAAATTTTATTTGATAAAAAAATTATTCTTACAAATTTGATATAAATTGTTATTTACAATTTAACGTTTTGATCTTGAGAAGGTTGGCGGAACAAGCAGAGCGCATTTATTCACACACGAGCGCCAAAGCTTTATCTATCTACACAGTTTTTTTTATAAAATAATTAATTCTTGTTAAATTCAGGTCCAGTGCTATTTTAATTAATTAATAGATATCAGGTTAATCAGACCACAAACGCAATGTTGACAATTACTTCACACTTTATTGCAACGTTTCGTCGAAAATCTCGACTTCTTCAGGCAATCTACAAAAACATACAATACTAGTAAGTAATTGTCAACATTGCGTTTGTGGTCTGATTAACCTGATATCTATTAATTAATTAAAATAGCACTGGACCTGAATTTAACAAGAATAGGGTCAACCATTTTCCTAATTTCATACTTTTTATTCTATTAAATTTTACAATTTTATTTAACAATTAAATTTTCCAGTAAATTTAATACTAAAAAAGACCATTCGGCAGTCGAAATGGAAGTAGATTTCATCATAAATAGAAAAAAATAATGGATTTCTAGTAAACCGGCGATTAAAACCTTATTTCACCCTAACTTGTTATTTGTTTACATACTGCTGGTGTACAGTAAAGAAAAAAAAAACAAAAAAAACGAGTGCAATAGCAAATTTCATAATTGGCATAGCGGAATAGGACATAATTTTGGGACTACAAATATGATATGCTACTCAAATTGAAGCTTATTTAAAGAGCTTTCAGATGCAATTTACAGAAATTCGATAAATTATCCTATTTAAAAGTTATTGAAGGACGAAAATGGAGAAATGTTAATTTTTACACGGGAAGAAAATTGAAGGAGTTTTTACTCTTTTACTATTGTAATTTTTACTAAATAAAATATTAACGGTGGACTATACTTCTCATTTATTAATTTTTACGATCTACTATTGTAAATTTTATTCAACAAATAAGACTAGCAAGAGTTTTAAAAAGTCGAATATTATAGAGCAAATTATACAATATGTGTTAGTGAATTTTACAATTCAACTGTTGTAAAAATTCACAGTTGGTTTTTTTAAAAGAAATAGTATGGGAGGGAGAGAGATAGAAGGTTGCACGAATTGGTATTACCTGTACAGTAATCGAAAAAAGAAACAAATCTTTTCGTGCTATCTGGGAATCGAACCTAGAACTCTGTGTTGGTAGCCAGAGACTCTCCCTTTAGGCTATCCGCGGTAAACTAAGACCCATGTTCTTTAACATTTATATAAACTCAGAGTCTAGCGCTGTGCACGGCCATCACTCACACTAATTGAGAGATATTCCAATTCAACTATTGTAAAATTTGCTATAGTTCTATTGGAAAGATACAGAGGCAGCACTGGAAATTTTCATCTCTTACTTTTTACAATAGTAATATCGTATTTTTTCATTAATAAATAGTATTTTTTCTTCTAAAATATTTGATAATTAATAGTAATAAAGGTATAGTCCAGCTTTACAATAGTTGTATCGTAAATTTTCCCAGAAATTTTTTCCCGTGTAGATTGGAATATTTTCCAATATATATTTCCCCAACGTATCAATTGCTTACCAGCTCACATAACAAAACAATAATTCCAATTAATAAAAATATTCACGTTACCAATTATATTCATAAGAACAATAAATATTTGCATTTAATTAATAAAATCAATTATATACGAATATATACATAACGCACTCTTCGGACATGAAATCTGTAAGCCATTAAAATATACATGAGTCACGTCTCATTTTATCCGATGACACATGATACGTACGAACAATATTTTTCCTTCTAACCGTATAATCGGCAGCTTTTTGCAGGAAACTTTTCTGTTCGAAAGTTTTGATTTTCGTATCTGCCGCTTATATAAATATAAATATAAAAATACAGGATATATATCAACATACCGCAAGCTGATGATATCAAGAGGCTGAAAATCCCATGATCCCTTTTCTGGTTTCGTATGCGACTCGAGAAAACGTGAGATAGCGTATTGTATGGAGACGTCAGTACTCAAACTCATACATCAAATAAGCACATGTGTGTGTATTTCTATTTTGAGTAAGTCGCGCGTCTACTAGACTAGACTTACGATCTAGCAGCCCGTATTTCATAGCACTCGTCGACGCTAGAGGGATCCTTCTCTCGCTGTACGTGCGACATTTCACTGGTATAAAGATATAAGTATAGTATTTTAAATAAATACAAGTATTACGGGATGCATACATACATATGTAAATAAATATTGTGCAGTGTAGAGGCAGGTGAGGGTAATGTTGACTACGCAACTTGTATTGGGCTTACTGTGCAGCAGTAGTAGTAGTAGAAATGCAAGTGTATATAATAGTAAAGAGTAAATATATAATAAGAGAAAAGGAAAATTGGATGATGTTACTTCGTTTATGCATACCACGCTCGTATCTATATCTCATGTGTGCCATGTCTGTCGTGTATAGATGGATATAAACTCAAATAAAATAACAAATACAGGAACAGCAACAAAAAGTCCAAGTAAACTCACGACTACCAGACACAAAAGAACGAGCTTTATTGAATTATTTTCTGTCGTTTTATGTAAAGTTTTTAACGCACTTGGATGATAATTCTCTCGTGTGTTTATTGAGTGAACATTTAATTTTATTTACAATTGCATTTAAATTAATGAACCGAATTAATTTTTTTATTGTAACGCTATTTATTTACAGATTAATTTTTTTAAAAAAGATCAGTCAACCCCCATAAAAAAATGTAAATCGAAATACATAAAAAATATATAAATATATATAGTAAATATATTTTTGATAACTAACTTTTGGCCAATTTTCATATATATTTTATATATTTCAAATGTATTTTAGATATATTCAAAATATATTTTTTTTATATTTTTAGCTATGTATTTTAAGATATATTTTGAATATATCTAAAATTTATTCAAAATATATAAAATATATATGAAAATCGGCCTAAAGTTAGTTATTAAAAATAAATTTTTTATTTATTTCGAAACATATTTTTTTTTTCATGGGGGAAAAGTCTATTACTGACAACAATTGTGTCGGTTTTTTTTTTATTTCGATGTTGGCATACATAAATGGCATTGGTAAGCGCGCGAAATTTAAAATTTAACTTTTGACACGTGAATTAACTAAATTACTTCAATAAATTTTCTCAAGCATTAATAATATGTTTTCAACTAGCAATAAAAGAATTAACAATTAATTTTTTTCCGATTCTCGGATAAATGCAGCAATTAAATTATTCAAATTTTTCATGCATAAAAAACAGATAACTCAAATGATTTAATTTAATTATTCATAACATAACCAATTATAAACAGAATTTTTCACAACCTGGTATTTAAATAAAAAAATCGGTGATGAATTCAATTATTTAGCAGTGGAGGCTCAACTCGATATGTATGAAGCCCGTTTATTTAATTTTTATCATTTTTCGGTCTCCGTTTTTTTGGCTGTCATGTCAGGGAATGAATAGCATTTTTCAAACGTCATTACACAGATTTGCGTGATTTTTCGACTTGACATGGATGTATACACAAGTTTGTGTCAAAGAAGTGGAAAAGAGATAGCCAGCACTCATATGTGTGTGTACAGATGGGTTGGAAGGGGAAAAACACCGAGAGCACCCATTCATCCTAAAGCTCTCTACGTAGAGAGGCATGTGTTAACGATTGACGTAACGACGTAACACGTGTGTGGAGTACATACTGAGCACGCTGACGACTCATATGAGCTCACTACTACTTTGTCCCACTGCAATATATGCACCAACAGTGGAATATACTCTCTGCAGACCGCGAGGTCGCTTTTCTCTCTCGTTCTCGAGGGCTCGCCAGAATTTATAAAGCTCTGGAAAATAAATCGAGGGTCCAAAGAGAATAAAAATTTATGAGTAACTAAAAAAAAAAGCTAACCGTGTATCAAGTATTTTAATAATAAACTCCCGAAATAATATTTGAATATCTTAAATATTTTCTGCACCAGTAAATTTATGATTCACTTCATACATAATGAAGAAGCCAAATGATTTACCGAGATATTGATTACAGAAATAAAAATAAAGTTGGTAAATGTAAATATGCATGGCTTCGATAAATTTTTTTAATACTTGTTCGATAAATAAGCTTTTTTGCTCAATATTTAAACATTTTATAGGAATAAATTTAAACAATTTTGAGTGTATAAATTACATGCTTTTTTTTTTTATTCAAAAATTTCCGCCTTTTTAATTTTTGAAACGTCTTTTTCAAGTAAAGCTCTATTATTGGCATATTTATGCCATATTTTGGAATTTAAAAAAATGTAATTAAAATGTTTTTTCTGTTAATTTTCATCATTTTTAAATTATTTGAAGTATCAATATTTAATTAAGCGTTGCTTGCAATTAATGATCGAATAAATACCATTCTCATTCCGATGACTAATTAACTATGAATTGGTATTTAATTATTTTTTATGTAATTAATAATTAATTATCGATAATTAGTTAGTACAAAATAAAAATTTTATCGGAATGTTATGATAAAATTTACGAGAAAAGAGGTCACTTGAAACCTGAATGAAATGAAATAAAGTAAAAAGTTGAAATGTCGGTATGGTCACTTTACTAAGTTAATGTCGGGTAAGTTGAGAAAGGATTTAAAACATCTAAAGTACGTTTATATCTCGGTAAAATCACCGAATTGAAAAGCTCGGGCTTTGTAGCACTTTCATTGAAAAATAAAAGTGCATCGTATAACAAAATAATGGACGTCTTTTGCGGCTGCACCGACTTACCAGCGCAAGAAAAA